TTAGTGATAAAAAGGCATTCCAATAATAATTAGGCAAAGTTAGATAATATGCTGGGTCTAAACCTTAATAGTTTAAGCACATATCCCTGAAGTTTTCAATAACATCAGTCAGCAAATAAACATCGGTCATCAAATACAAATCATGGTATTCACCAAGGTTTTTTTATTTTTAAGTGTTTCCATACAACATTTGCCCTATCATAGCATCTATCCTTGATATGTTCTTCATATAACTGGCTATAGAAGTGTTCCTTACTTAGTAGTTGTTCTTCATCAAACTTATCAAAGGAGTTCATATAGTCGTATGGGTATATTCCTTTATCAGTTAGTAAATTTAAATCAGTTTTAGACCTGATATATGGATTTGTTTTTGTATATCTGAAGTGATTTTCCCATTCTTTTACTTTTTTCATTTCCTTCATATTAATTTAGTCTGACTAATTTGTCCAGCGATGCTGATAGAAAAGCAAAACTGTCCTTAAACTGACAAGCACCACATGAAAAGGTTATAAACTTTTCACTGTTTTGTGCTATTACATCGAAACTGTTGTGTTCATTAAATTCTATGTTCAATTCATTTGCTTTAGCAACAACTAAGTGAGCATCGTAGTTTTTGAGGTTACAAAAAGTGGGATTTTAAAAAAACCTAATGAATAATCTAAATTACATTTTAAATGTGCTGCGCCTCTGTATTTACCTGTGAAGTGGCAGTGGTCGCGGACTTTCTCATCATCAGGTTGGAATTTCTTACTACATATTGAGCAGTGGGCCGCGTTTTTAAATTATGTCTTTTGTTCGTAAGTTAATTAATCCATTGGTTTATTTAACAATCAGCTTTTCAAAAATATCTTTCTTAATTATACAGTAGTGAGTTGTTCTACAAACCTTTTCATACAATCCTCGCCTCTGTATAAGTATGGTTGGCGTGTATTATCAATCCTGCTTACTACATTCAACATATAACCGCACGGTTTATGTTCCTGATATGCGCCTTTTTTACCATTGTTGGAGTTAGTGGTTAGACATTTAAAATCACCATAGATTACCAAAGGACATGGTAATTTAGCGTTATGCTTTTCAAATTATATAACTACCTTTATCAGGAATTTTGGTTTGCTGTCCTTCTGATGCCTTACAACCTTTTTCCAAATGCCTTTTATACGTCTTTTCCGTTGAATGGATTTAAGCAATGATGACAGTAAAACTTTTTTTGTGTTTTTGCTACTCTGGAAGTTTAGTAATCTACATCTGTTCTTTACCAAAGCATAGTGATAATTATTGTCATCAACAAAAACCTTTAACAAATCAATTTCATATTTAGCATTTTTTGGTTCCTCTATGTAAAATTGTTTTGTTGTCCTTCGAGCAGTCATCAGGTTCAAAAACATTTATTGAAACTTGCTTATTGTTTTCTTCAAACCGGTCTATGTCCCTATTCCCTGTAGGAAGTTTAACACCATTCCAATTCAAAATATTGTCATTTAACTTGTTGTAGTGGAACAACTCTTCTGGATGATTTTTATTGATTTTATCAACGACTATGCATTGAATACAGTATTTGAAACATTTTTGGTCTCTTTTTTTATGTTGATACACGCCTTTTTAAGTTTAATCCATTCTGGTAGTTCTATATACCTCCCCGCTCTTGTATGACCCTACTTATCAACATGAATGGTTATTGAAACAATCTTTTTAAATACTAAATTGGACTGTGTGCCTTCTAAATCTTGAATTTTCAATAAGATTTGTTGAACACTATTTTCTAATGCTTGGTTTAACTCATCCTCATTATGAATATTGTAACGTGTTGCTGGTAATTGATAAAGGTGTTCGCTTGTAGCAATTTTTTCCTCCCTCATCATATTCAGGTTTTTCAAACTAAACCTTCCGTTCTGATGTTAAGTTTCATATTTCTATTATTTTTAGGAAGTCTCTTAATCGTGATTTTTGGTGAGCAATCATTTCCAATCCTCGCTCACCTTGAAAGTGTTTATTTTCTAGTTTTATGGAATTGGCATAGTTTCTAAATGCTGACTGGACATCATTTACTCTGAATTTATTTCTTATTGACCTCCATGTTGATAATACTTTTGCTCGTCCAATGGTGTAAGCATCCCTTGCTTTGTTTAAGGCATAACTCCTATACTCGTTTGTATTTCTGATTGATGTAAGGTTTTCTATTTAAGGCATTTGATATTTCTGTTGCTTTATTGTATCTAAATTTCCTACCATCTATGATTATTTGCTTTAATTATTGTCTTCCTCTCTTAGGTGTTTCTGCTAAATCATTTTTAAACAGATAATCTATAACTTGTTTCATCATTTCATACTATATATATTGTTTAAGGCATTTAATCTTTGATATTTTTTGTTCTTTGAAATTGTCTGTATATAGGTCTTCTGTTCTGTTCTTTGTATGGTTGGTTTGTTGTTCTGTTTTTTTCTGGGAAGTGTTTGATAAGAATTCTTAGGAAATACATTTAAGAAAATGATATCTTCTATGTTGATGGAGAGATTTTGTAGATATTGTGTCAAAGATTTACCTATTGATAATTTTGAAGAAGGGCTTAAAACTTGTAAAAATGCTTAGAATATAAAAGAGCAAACGTGATAAACATAGAGATAAAGTATATGAAGCACAAAGAAAAAGATATGAAGAAGATAAAGAAATAGAAAAAAGAAACTGGAACAACACCATAAATTCAATCTAAAAACCATTACCTGTTCTGTTTGTAAATGTTCAATAAGGCAACAATGTTACTCAAGACATCTTAAAACAAATAAGCATCAAAGAAAGTTAGGCAATGGTCAGTAGATAGGATTTGATAAAAATGAATAAGGGAATGATGCTTTGACTGCATTGATTTTATAAATTGAATCAGGTAATGATGCTTTGACTGCTTTGATTTTATAAATTGAATAAGGTAATGATGCTTTGACTGCTTTGATTTTATAACTTGAACAAGGTAATGATGCTTTGACTGCTTTGAGTTTGTAAATTGAATGAGGTAATGATGCTTTGACTGCTTTGGTTTTGATATGGTTGATTAAAATGAAGAAATCAACCATATTCAAAACATGGTTTTATCCTGTTTCATTTTATTTTCAAAAACTTCACTCAATCAACTTTTTAAACATTTTTTAGGTGCACCGAGGCGAACGCGTGCTCCAAGTGGTTCGCCTGGCTCGCCATGTAGGAACCCCCAGACACTCCATGCCATGGACAAATACGCCACTGATTGGCAAATATGGTACGTCCCCTCGGGAGTGTTTGAGGTTTTTCTTGCTTCTGGTCGCGGATGGAAAAGACCAAGTGCAATTGCCGTGCATGACCAGGCTGCTACAAGATTGCTGATCTGGGCCTGGCGGCTGCCGCCATCGGTTGGGGGAACCCACAGTGCAGCAGGGGGAAGTTTGTGGGTGCATGAAGTGGTGGAAAGCCATCAAAGTTCAATATGCGCCCAAAATAGGGTCATGTGAACCAGTGTGTGTTTTCATGTTGTTTTTTACAAAAAAGTGGTTTGTTGGTGTTTTTTAATCGTTTTGTGGCATCCTGTGGCCTGTGCCTTGCGGATATCTCCATGCACCTCCTTCAATCTCAATTGTGCCATATTATACCGGCATAGACTCCAGATAGCACTTCAAGAAAAGTTGGATACCATGGCAAGAGCGGGAGACAAGCTTGGGAGACATCCCACTCAAAGCCGGGAAAAGGATGGAAAAGGCACACAATACCTAAATCATCTTATAATAGCATCCGCGTCAAAGGCAGGCAAGAAAATGACAAGGCGGCAGCGGCAGCCAAGAGCGAAATCAGGAACAGAGACAAGCTTGGGAAACACGGCGGCAGCGGTAGCCAAGAGCGAAATCATGAAGGGAGACGAGTTTGGGACACAAGCCGGCAGCGGCAGCCAAGAGCGAAGTTTATGAAGGGAGACAAGCTCGAGAAACAAGACGGCAGTAGCAGCCAAGGGCGAAATCATGAAGGGAGACAAGCTTGAGAGACAAGCCAGCAGCGGCAGCCAAAAGCGAAATCATGAAGGGAGACAAGCTTGGGAGACAAGGCGGCAGCGGCAGCCAAGAGCGAAATCAGGAAGGGAGACAAGCTTGGCAGACAAGCTGGCAGCGGCAGCCAAGAGTGAAATCATGAAGGGAGATAAGCTTGGGAAACAAGGCGGCAGCGGCAGCCGAGAGCGAAGTTATGAAGGGAGACAAGCTTGGGGAGACAAGGCGGCAGGGGCAGCCAAAAGCGAAATCATGCGAAAGCATAAAGGGAGACAAGCTTGGAGACAAGGCGACAGCGGCAGCCAAAAGCGAAATCATGAAGGGAGACAAGCTTGGGAGACAAGCCAGCAGCGGCAGCCAAGAGCGAAATCATGAAGGGAGACAAGCTTGGGAGACCAGGGCAGCGGCAGTCAAGGGCGAAGTCATGAAGGGAGACAAGCTTGAGAAACAAGACGGCAGTAGCAGCCAAGGGCGAAATCATGAAGGGAGACAAGCTTGGGAGACAAGGCGGCAGCGGCAGCCAAGAGCGAAATCAGGAAGGGAGAAGCTTGGGAGACAAGGCGGCAGCGGCAGCCAAGAGCGAAATCCGGAAGGGAGACAAGCTTGGCAGACAAGCTGGCCGCGGCAGCCAAGAGTGAAATCATGAAGGGAGATAAGCTTGGGAAACAAGGCGGCAGCGGCAGTCAAGGGCGAAGTCATGAAGGGAGACAAGCTTGAGAAACAAGACAGCAGCGGCAGCCAAGAGCGAAATGATGAAGGGAGACAAGCTTGGGAAACAAGGCGGCAGCGGCAGTCAATTTCCGCATTCCGGAACCCATCCATTGAGAAGTAAGAACCCCCATAGCTTCCAGCTATCTGGGGAAACACATTGACTACAGTACAAATCTATATATATATATAATTTGGTATAACTTCATGCAGATGAATATAGTATTTCAATTTTGTATTTACATGCATTTACCTTTGGTGGGCTTGTCATTCACCATTCCCGTCCGATGACATCTGGAGGCACCGGCTGCGATGAGATCACCGAGGGCGACTGTCGCTATTTGGCGAAGGAGGTGCTGAGAGGTGCCGTTGGGGCGTTCGACGGAAGTTCGTCCCACAATGGAAAAGCATAGGAGAAGAAAGACACATGCAAGGTGAAAAAAGAACATATAACGTGTGGGTTTGGAAACAGTCGTGTTTGAACCACCAAAACATGTGTTAACTTGTTCCTTTTTTGAAGCATGGTTCCTTCTCTACCGCTGAAGCGGCTTCGTGGATCGAGGCTTCGGGGATCGACGCCCGAATGCCCGAAGATGAGGGGATCGACGATCGACCTGGTAATTTCATCGAACATCGTATGAACATTGTGACCATGCAAACCAATGCAAACCAATGCTGAATATCTGGTAAACGTGTCTATTTACGTTCCTTCGGTACATCCACAGTTAGTTGGAAACCTTGCGGAAAATGTTTTGCCAAAGATTAAGACAGTTTTCTGGCGATACGGGTCTTGTTTGGCCATCCTTACAAGAGCACATGACAGAAAAGCCGGGAACACAACACCACATGAGAACATGAAAGTTCAGGTGCACCAGCGGAGGTGTGTGCATTTCTTGGGTGTTCGGGTTTGAAGCTGAAGTACCCCTTTTTCGCACAGAGTAAAAGAAAAGAAAGGGGATGCTTCTCAAGGGTTCGTGAGACGGTGGCACTTGGAAGGCAGTGGGAGACTGCGCACGATCACTCGACAATGACACAAACATGGTGTGTTTTTTTGGCGCCTCGCTGAGCTGCTGCAGATCTCCAAATTTGAAAGCGGAGGAGACGGGATGATCCTGAAAACTCAAAACTCTGATGTCAAACAAGAAGACTAATTAGGTCCAACACGCCACTCTTCCAAGACTCCCGGACATCGTGCACTGCGAAGCCTTAAACAGAAGACCCAGTCGGACGTCCCTTGCGTTGTGGGTGCCAACGTTGCCAGTGTCCGGCAAGGTGACCTGAGGGACCTGACCAAAGCAGATATTTTCTCCCTTGGCTTGGCGCGGGCTCCCAGAGGATCTCTGGTCTTTGAGAGAGAACGGGTCAATGAGCAGTAATCGACACCACTCCAAGAATAGAACAAACAGTTGGATAAGACAATCAACCAACTGAAGAACTAGTTAAATATACGAACACCTACCTTGGAAAAGAATGATTGCTCCCTGTGCTCCTTCGAGCTGATCATTATGAGTACCTTCGGAAATTTGGGTTTCTTATGGTTTCCTGGCCTATATATGCGAGGCATACCTACACCACCCACGGTGATGCGTTGATGCCTTTATGTGCCTTTGGCGTTCATGCACCGCCAGTGCCTGTTGACTCAACCGCCATCCCTGAGATGGCTTTCTACGCCATGGGCACGCCATGCCCAATAGTGGCAAGTGCACAACTTGATTCAGCCGCCTTCGACTCGTTCAGCAGGAAGCGCTATTCTGCGCACGCAAGTGACGCGTGCGACAAAAAACAAGAAAAAAGCGCACGCAAGCGTTTCAGGAATCCAACGCAAGCAAGACTCGTGTGCTGAACCACATGCACGACGCAAGCACCAAAAAAGGCTTGAAGTATGTGTCACATGATGTTTGCTCATGGCTGCTCACTGTCGCATTGCAACTTCACGTGATTTGTTCAACTTGAAGTTGCTTGAGATGGGACAGGTTGTTCTGTCGATACATTGCAAAAGTAGGTGCTAGAACAGACCCCAGCACCTCTTTGTCGGGAGTTTGCTTCCCCCCATTGGTCATTGGTCGTTTTTACGCCCAATAGAGTATGCTCCCAGTGGGTCCACCGACTCCAGGATGGTTCACGTACTGTCTCCAGACTCCATAGAACTGGAAGATGTCCCAAACCATCGACTCCTAAAACCACCCGTCCAGTCGATCCGGGATCTGTCGAATCCATCCTTACCCTTGTGGGCTTGGATAACATATCCTATACGAAGAGGTGTTAATAATCCATGTTTTGGGGGGGTTCTTCATCAACAGTCTTTGACTCATTCACTCATGGACTCTCCCCGTGCCCGGTCGAGTCCGGTCGACGGGTCGACGGGGTCAGGTGCTCTACGAGTTGGCCACGAACCCCCAGCAGCTGCCCAGCAATGGCCCCGAGTGGCAGATGCTACGAGAGCGCCTGGAGGCGCGGAATTTGACGCTTCTGAATACTACTTGAACTTGGTCGGCTGAGAAGATACCAAGTAGCTTGGTGTGGAGAATCTGGGTATACCGATATACAATCCTTTTCCTGGTTTTGCATAGGGTGAGGTTTCATTTCTGGGGACTTCGGGGATGATTATTGATTGTTTCGTGGTTGGGGAGGTCCTGTCATGGAAACATATTACACCAGCATCGACTCCAAACAGCAACAGCAGATTGATGTTTTCTTTGCCAGCGAGCCTTGAAAGTGTTTGCCGCCAGTTCTGTTTCGGAGACAAAGGGGCGCAAAGGAAGCAAGCAAGAGCAGAATCATCTCAGCCCAGCATCCAGAAGAGCCATGGGAGACAAAGGAAAACAAAAGGGAACAAACGGCCAGAAATCATCTTGGCCCAGGATTGTTTCTATGGGAGAATGGAGAAACCCCTCACAGCAGTCAGCTGTTTCGGACATGAAAACACAAGCAGACCTTTCTCGAGACTCCTAGCCTCCTAGCAGTGCGTGACACATTCGCGGGCCAAGTGGCCCAACGGGATTCGTTTGGGCCACCTATTTGAGAGTCACGCGTTCCGGTGGTTCAAAGTGGCCATGGCAAAAATGATTTCAGACAACTATACATATACCCTAGGGATCCAAGTACCTTCTCAGAAGGCACTTGGACCCTCCACAGCCACCCCAAACAGCTTCTGAGAAGGTACTTGGATCCCTAGGGATATATAGCTGTACATCAGTTTAGCAAGATGAATTGGCCAACCTCCTCCTGGCCAAATTAGTACAAGCAAAAGATCGGTGGCCTCCGGATGCACACTGACATTGGCCACATGGGCTTTGGTGGCAAAAAGGACAGCAAAGGCCCTAAAGTTTCCACGATTGAAGTGGCTGCTGAAAATCCTTGAAAAGGACAACGGAGCACCACAGTCTGAGATGTTCACACACTGGTGCAGTGGTGTCAATTATTGCCCTGGAAGAAAAGATGAAACTGTGACGTGCACTCACTTGCATCACACATACGTCCCACTTTTTTACAGGTGGAAGCACGCAGCGGCTGCAAACAACTCTGTGACAGAGTTCTTCTTGCACAGCGCCCTTCAGAAAACACTGGAATCCATGCCTGCTATGAAATGATACTCAGCTCAGCTGGCCCAAGTACACATTATGTTGAGCGAGAAAGTTGATCAAAGTTGTTGGCTACCGTCTCGAAACTATATAAGTATGTCATGTCCCAAGCCCACAAGTCTTAAGTCGAATCAAACCAGTATTGGTGTGCAGTATGTATATACGATGCGTAAGGTATGCGGCCATATGAGCGACATGAATGTTTCTTTTCTGGGCAACAAGCTTTTTAGTTGTTGAATTGGACACCCGGGGCACAAGAAGCACCTACAGTTGTTGCTTTCACTTACGTTCCCTTGTGGCCTGACTTGTAGGTGTTGAGGCACCCTAGCACCACTAGGGTTCCTTCAGAAAAGTGTTTGGTGTGAGTCATTGTCATCAAGTTGTTGAAACCTGGAGAAAATGGCAAAAACATAAACCAAGCAAGATGAGCTATGCTCACGGGAAATAAAACAGTGGAAGCACAAACCTATCGTGACTTTTGGTACTTGAGGCTAGCTGAGGTACATCAAGTGAACTTATTGAACTTATAACATAAGTTACTTATAGCTAGAAATAAGTAGAAATTAGCTAAAAATTAGCTAGAAATAGCTAGAAATAGCTAGAAATTACCTAGAAATACCTAGAAATACCTAGAAATAGGTAAAAATTGGATATGTCTAAAATATGTGGTTTCTTATGTGTTTTAAATGTTTTTTGCTTTTCCTATGTTTTCGATTTATTAACAAAAAAACGTGCTTTCTCTTGAACATATACCAGTTTCTATAACACATTTCTATGCGGCCTAAGGGACGCTCTGATGCAGCAGAGCGGCCGTGAGGCCGCTTTCCTTTTTTCTTTCAAGCAGCTAGCCATGTTTTTTGCTAATTGGTTTCGACCATTTAGCATAGTATTCTTTATCTTTACCGCCACGGCGGCGTTTTCGGCCCTCATTGCCCAAGGAGCCCCACTCCTTCAAAGTCTTTTTTTCGATGAGCGTTGAGTACTTCGAGGTGTCACCATTCACCTGGATCCAATGCCACTTCATCAGAAAGATCAGATCCGGCTAGATCTCTATTAGAAAAATTGAGCCAAACTTCAATACATCATCCAAATATTGGTTTCAATCTATCTTTGAAAGTGTACACAAAAACTATATATTTACAATTTACAAATTTAAACATAAAATATTGATTGTTTTTTCTTGATTGAAAATGAATGTATTGAAATGTATCGGAATGTATCGGAATGTATCAGGTCATCCTGGGGGCTATGAAAAGTAAAGCCAATACATCCAGATACATTCCGAT